GTGACAACAGTCCCAGTGGACATGAAACACTCAGTAAAATCTCTCTTTTCTGATTATCTACAATCGCAAGGAAATCAGTTTTCCCTGGGAGCATCTCTTCTTATTGCATGAACTTCAGAAACATGACTCACTATACTACGCCTCAAAATGCAAGTTGGTTCTTCAACGACAACAAATACGTGGAGGAGGTGGCACGGGCTTATGGGTTCTACTTATTCAAAGCCACAAGTTCTACAAATTAATGCTTGCAACTGCAGCTCAGAGCGCTTAATCGCCTTTGTTTTAAGCATGTTTTTGTGTGAAAGTATTGATTTTTTTCATGAATAAGCTGCAGCTGCATGCTTTATTATTAGTCTTTTCTTTATGAGAGATCCCAATTTCCTGAAAAAAGAATAACTCCCCAGTTTATTGTTATAATACCACAAGAATAACACTGAACCCTAATTGAGACCTAATTGTTAACCCACTGTTAACATTACAGGTTGACGTTATTTAAAAAAACCAAAAAACAAGAATTATGATAGACAGAATTTAAGAGCTGTAGACCAAGAACACCCTAAGTTTTCATTTTGTTTAGCTTATTGAATAGTTGTTGGCATTTTCCAACTTACTTGTCTACAAGTGTCCTGATGACAGCCAGCGTGTCCAGCACCAGGCCATCTACATTCTGCTTTTTCCGTCTCGGCTCATGAGGCCCTCGACCTCGACGAGGTGGCCTGACCGGGTCCCTGGGCCGACTGCTCCGAGCCTCTGCTGCGTCAGCACCCACACCTGCACTGTGATCCACCCGCCTAGCTTGTCCTCGGGTTGCTCTCGATGAACCATGATGTTGGTCCTCCAAGTCACTATCTTCTCGACATACACAGCTATTACCCATGGTTCCAGAGTTGGAGACCAAACTGGCAAGTGTTTCCCAGAATGGATGAAGGGACTTTGAGGAAGAGAGGAAGAGCAGAACCTGTACAAGGCTCCTGCAGGCACAGAAAGTAATCCAGGTGGCTACTATCATATCATTTGGAGAGCTTGGTTTTGGGGGGTTCTTGTCCCTGTGGGCTGGGTGGGGCCAGTGCAAAAGACCATACTGTTGCCAAGCAGAGACTTGTGTGGGACTAGTGAAAAATGGCTACTAAAATGAACCAGAAAAGGTCTGGTGATGCAGCCAGGAAAGCTCGGAACATCACAGGTAACCAAAGGCTCCAGTCAACCTCTCATCCAGGACTGGATGGATCGCTGTGAAGGCAACACAAACACAAAACAGAAAGCATTTAGCTCAGCTGCTTACTCGATCTGTCAGTGCAGCCAGCAGCAAATATTGAGACTTGCGGAAACGACACACCCCGTACGATAAATGTCAGCAGATTACAGAAGTTAATTATTGAAATTAAACATGAGTCCCCTTTCTCTCAAACAAAAGCGCCACTAAACGACGTTCAGTTGTTTCAATCTATAGCTGTGCTGCTCAATTAAAAAGGCACAGTGTATCACACGGAGCAACTAAATGATGACACATTTTAGTATTGTTGACAAACAAGAGCTTTTCAGTTAGCTGACTTGCAAGCTAGCCACCCACAAAGCAAGCAGTTGTCACGTTAAAAAGGAAACTCAAGTTTCCCGAAGTTGTTCTTATCATTAAAAGCAACAATGGTTCCATTTTAAACTAAAGACATACTTACGGTGCTATCTTGTAAAACAAACACCATTCAAAGCGCAGTCGAGCCAGACCAAAGTAGTTAACAAACCAGAAGGCTAACAAGGTAGCTGCGCTGTGTATGAGCTAGCCTCCGAGCTGTTAGCTTCGATAGCTGGACCCTCCTCCGATTCTCCCGTCGGACTACACAAGTTAGGTAACGAGAGGAACAACAAGCTGAGCGTGGTACTCGGGTATCAGGACACATTTACACCGCCCGTCTATATTCCGCCGTAACACACCTTCGCTGAAGTAAAACAGCCACACGGTCATAGCGTACACATTTTAAACGACGCTACTAAGGAGCGCTAGCTGGTCGCTAAGTTCCGTAGCGCTGCCAGCTAAAAGGTTGGTCATCGTCAGCTGTGGATGCGAAGGCGAGACTGGAGGAGAAGGGAGGATTTTTCTCTCTAATGTTACGTGAACATAGGAGTTCTGCCTAATGGTTTTACTTTTTCTCTTAATACATGTATGAGAAAATAAGAAATATATGAATGAATTTGTTAATTTTAAAAGGAAATTGATTACGCAACACAAAGTTCAAAGAATTAAAGAAATGGTATGCTACACCTCAGTTCAGTACAGCAAATGTGTACAAATTTAACCTTTAAATTTTTTAAATGTTTCAGCCTGAAACATTTACTAAAGTGACCCCCCCCCCTTCAAAAAAAGAAAGAGATTTCTTTTGTTTACTCTCCGAAACACCAATTAAGGATATTTTATCTATTTAGTAATGCCAGGTGGACTACCTATGTGTTTATAATTCATCTGAGGTTCAAAATAATATATACATATAATATTAACAGGTTAAGACAAATAAATCAAACGCCTAGGAAAACAAAAACATCAACACACATGCTAAACAATGTCATTTAATTTCACACATGTGCAGATATTGAATACTGCAGTCGTTACATTTGAGATTTATGCTTTTTTCTTTTCTTTTTCAAAAGACATGTCCTGCAAAGCAGTCACACACCCTGCTACGGTCCAGGGATGTATTGAAGGAGTAGTTCCGATACATCCCGATCTTCCTCAGCTCTTTGGTGAATCTTTGTGATTTGGGGTGGAAAGTGCACGGAGAGCTTTCAAAGGTTGGAGGGAGGCGACCATAGTCGGCGGATGTGGTCTTATACATGATGCTTTCGAGCTTTGTTCCCGCTGCAGACATCAGACCTTTTGCTTGTGGAGTAATCACGCAGGTAAAAACTGGATTTCCAGGACTGGTTGATGTTTTGGCATCTTCTGCCTGCTGCTCTGGAGAAACAGGCATTGTTGATCTTCTATTTAAAAAGGAGGGAAAACGATTTAGAAGATTATTTACACATTTACATTAGGTATATATGGACTCACTAATGGTCGATGGAGAGTTGCATATAGCGGGTATTAGTTTTACACGGATTTAAGATTATATATATTTCAGTGATTACAGTTAAATTATTTTCGAGCATAGAGCGGTCCAGCGATCTTTGTGATTCATGTCTATTCATTTCTTTTAACTTCGCTATCTAGCGCTAAATTTCGCACCACTGGGTTTTTTATTTCTTGACTGAAGTGTTTTTGTTTCCAAATTACGATGTGATTCATATAATTACCTTAAATTCGTGAACTCAACAAAATACACCGACTGGTCACGGGTTGAAGACAGAGAAACATGTGGTTACCATAGCAATGACGAGCCAGGCGCTTGACCTCACATAATCTCACGAGACTTTCGAAGAAAGCGCGAGAGGACGGGGCTCCGACTCTTTTGTACTGAAAAAAAAAAAAAAAGACTGTCATCAGCAGCTGGACATAGTTTAAAGAAAAAATTACAGCTACTGACAGATATTGGTCCTGGCAAAAAAAAAAAACCAACCAAAAAAACTTAATAACTATATTTCCAAACTTTGGTTACAATCTACCTTACCCAGCTCGCTATACTAATAATTAACATTCAAATATGAGCACTATTTTCCATCAGGTACCTTAAACACAGCACCACCTTACTCCTCTCTTCAAACATCTCCCTGAACTCATACAAGAGTCTCATATGTCAGATGTAATGCTGCTAACTGCCTCCTCTCAGACATGCTCTGGACAGTCTCACAAGCAAACACTAATCAGAGTAAACCAAGTTATAACACGACATAAAGAGGCCTGATTAGAAGACTGAGGAGAAGAAAAATACAGATTAGATGTGAAAAGCAGGTTTTTTTGCTTTGCTGTCAGAGATAAAAATCAGGCAGACTGGCGGTCAAATAAAGGAAGACATAAAAAACAACAATAACAAGAAACCACAGTGTGTGGTCACTGTTTGATAGTGCATGATCTTAAGTGCAAAATGATCATTGGAGAAAGAGTGACGGTATGTGTTGCTCACCAAAATATAGAACATACCACAACCCATGGGGCACTAAATAACCATAGACACATACCACACACCAAAGACAGACATGCATGCATGTGGCAGAAGACAGAGACATGAAACTCAACTAATCGTCACTTTAAATATGTGGGAGGGCTGTGACAAAGCAAGGACTTGAATGGTGACTGACCATTTTCTGCATACAGTTTTTGGGTCCCAATGATCAGTGAATCAGGTCATTTAGATAATACTCTAAAATAACTCCTGATGGGCTAAACTTGCCTTCAGGTGGCATACAAGGCTGTATACTGTGGAGTATAAATGCCACGTTGCAGTCTAAATGTTGCTCTTGTGTAAGTTCACATATTTGGACCAATGGCTGTACATAAACATACATATATACTGCACATAATGTACTGCATATATACAATCTGTGGTTTCGAGAAATTGTATTGGATCTCCTGCTAGTAAAACTCGTCAGATTCGTATTTTTCCACTGCACGTAAAGGCACCATTCACTGCGTCATCAGCACGTGACAACTGGATACGTAGAATTACTGCGACTGCTCTTCTCAAACAGCAACAGCGTCGTTCTCGGACGTAAATCTGGGGTCCTGTTGCTCCCCTGTTGTTGAGGCTAGTTGGCAGGCGGCTGTGTCTCGGCGGGAGGATGGACAGTGAAATCCAACGGGATGGGAGAGTCCTGGATCTCACCGATGATGCCTGGAGGGAAGACAGGCTGCCGTACGAAGACGTCACCATTCCTTTGGTAAATGTTAATGCTAAGGTTAACGTCAACATGGACCAACGATTACAGAAAGCAGAAATGTTTTTGCAGGATGTTCCCGAGCAGTGCAGTTTATGAGAGGACACTCCATAATATCCGGCTTTTTACTTAATGCCAATGACTTAGATTAGATAGCGCTTTATTAATCCCTCGGGTGGGTTCCTCCGGGAAGTTCAGTTTCCAGTAGCAGAGCACCGACAGAAGTTGCATATTACAGAGTTAGAGTATAAAATAGAGGATAATGAGAGGATATGAACATAAGCTTAAATATACACATATGGTTTTGGGGGGGATTTTGCTTTGGCATACTTCTCTCTCCTGTTCTGGGTTTACAGAAGATGACATGCGCATGCTTACCTGCTTTCTGCTATATACACTCATTAGATACACCTTGCCAGGGTTAAAGCCTTCAGAACTTCTCTGATTTTTCATAGCAAATATTCAACAAGATGCTGGAGACATTTCTGAGATTTTGAACCATGTTGACATGATAGCATCACGCAGTTGCTACTTGTACTACATCCCAAAAGGTCGTCATTTGAGTGCCGTGAACGCATCGTGTACAAGAAACAACATTTTTCCAGTCTTCTGTTGTCAAAGTTTCATGAGCCTGTGTGAATTGCGGCTTTAGTTTCCCGTTCTTAGTTGACCGGAGCAGCACCCTGTGTGGTCTTCTGCCGCCGTAGTCCATCTGCTTTGTGGTGTGTTGTGCGTTCAAAGCTCTGCGTGCTTGGATTGCCTTCACCTTCCTATCAGCTTGAAACAGTCTGCACATTCTCCTCTGATCTCTAACATCAACAACACATTTTCACCCATTTGTATTTTACCTTAAACACAAGTTACGGTTTTGTGGGAAAATCCCAGCAGGTCACCAGTTTCTGATGCTGGTTTGTTGCAGAGTGAGCTGCCTGAGGCTGAGCAGGACAACGGGGGATCGACAGAGTCTGTGAAAGAGCAAGAGATGAAGTGGACAGACCTCGCCCTGCAGAGCCTACATGAGAACACACCGAGCACCGGAAGCTGAAAGACTAACACACAATCGAACTGTACAAATAAAATGCACAGACGTGGTGCGCACTGTGTCAGTTTTGACACACAAATGTGCCGTATCTTCTCTGCGCATTGGCCTT